AAAAAAAAAAAAAAAAAAGACCAGACTTCTATACTGAAAGCTATAAAATAGTGATGTGAGAAATTAAAGACCTAGAATAGTGAAGAAACATATCATACTTACGGATTCTACACTTATTATTACTAAGAGGTCAATACCCACAAACTGATCTGTAGATTCAGCACAATCCCAATCCAAGCCCCATCAGGCTTTTTCTGGGCAGAAATTTCTGGGGAAAAACTTACATGGAAATGTAACAAACCTAGGATAGCCAAAAAACGAACAAACGAACCAACCAAAAACTCCACAAAGGCAGTAAAACCAAATTGAGATACCTGATTTCAAGACATACTCTAAACCTCTAAAGTCAAGAAAATATAGTATTGATGTAAGAGTAGACATACAAATCAATGATACAGAATAGCCTAACGAAAGACCTTCCCAAATTTAGTGTTGTATCAAAAAAAGGTGCCAGGATAATTCAATGGAGTAAGGATACTTTTTTTTTTTTTTTACCCCAGCAAATGATATCGGAATAGCGAGGTATTAGGAAGAAAAAAAGAACCTTGAGGTTTTACTTTGTATCATACACAAAAATTAACCTGAAATGGATCTTAGACGTACACATTGAAGCTAGAACTTTAAAATGTCTGAAAGGAAATACCAGGTTAAAAATCTTTATTACCTTCAGATGCATAAGATTTCTTAGCGTGGTCCATCAAAGAAATAATAAATCGAGGGGCGCCTGGGTGGCGCAGTCGGTTAAGCGTCTGACTTCAGCCAGGTCACGATCTCGCGGTCCATGAGTTCGAGCCCCGCGTCAGGCTCTGGGCTGATGGCTCAGAGCCTGGAGCCTGCTTCCGATTCTGTGTCTCCCTCTCTCTCTGCCCCTCCCCCGTTCATGCTGTCTCTCTCTGTCTTAAAAATAAATAAACGTTGAAAAAAAAATGTTTAAAAAAAAAAGAAATAATAAATTGGAACTCATAGACTAGACACTTGTGCTCTTAGAAGGACTTCATGAAGGAAGTGAAGACAGGGTATGGACTGGGTGAAAATATTATGATCATATAAATCGGACACTGGACTCGATTCCAGGACATAGTCAGAAATTTTACAATTGAGTCATAAGAAAAGTAACTCAATTAAAAGGTAGGCAAAAGACTTCACCCCCATGCCTCACAGGAGATAGAAGTACTCCAATAATCGTGTCCAAACGTACTCAACATCCTTACTCATTAGCGAGATCCTAATTAAAATAAGCTACCACTACACTGCCTAACAGTGGCTAAAACCGAAAAGACTGATAACCAAAGTGTTGGCAAGGAATACGGAGCAACTGGGACTTCATGTGTTGCTGGTGGGGATGTAACGTCATACAGTCAGTTTGGGATATCATTCAGTAGGTTTTTCATAATGTTAAATATAATTAACCACGTGACCAGCAGTGGTATAATTAACCACGTGACCAACAGCCCATGAGAAATGAAAACACGTGCCCGTAAAAAGACTTACACACAGGGGCGCCTGGGTGGCGCAGTCGGTTAAGTGTCCGACTTCAACCAGGTCACGATCTCACGGTCTGTGAGTTCGAGCCCCGCGTCGGGCTCTGGGCTGATGGCTCAGAGCCTGGAGCCTGTTTCCGATTCTGTGTCTCCCTCTCTCTCTGCCCCTCGCCCGTTCATGCTCTGTCTCTCTCTGTCCCAAAAATAAATAAACGTTGAAAAAAAAAAAAAAAAAAAAGACTTACACACAGATATTTAAGGCGGCTTTATTTGCAATAGCCCCAGACTGGAGACAACCCAATTGTCTATCAACAGATGAATGGATAAATGGTGGAGTGTTCATGCAATGACATACTACTTGGCGATGAGAAGGGACTAAATACTTAGTGCACAACACTATGGATGAAGCTTGCTTATGTCATGTGAAAGAAGTGAGACACACGACAACATATTGTGTAGTTTTATTTATGTAAAATTCTCAAACTGGAGGAGGTAAACCATACTAAAAGAAAGGAGATCAGTATTTTCTTGGATCTTAGAGTATGGGGAGACTGATTGCAAAGGGGCATCTTTTGGGGTGATAGAAATATTCTACGTCTTGATTAGGGTAGTAGTTATATGTGAAAAACTCATCTGTTGGTACGCTTAAATATGCATTTAACCATATATAAATTATACCTCAGTTTGTTTAAGATTTTTTTTAACATGTATTCATTTTTGAGAGACAGAGAGAGACAGAGCGTGCATGGGGGAGGGGCAGAGAGGGCGGGAGACACAGAATCCGAAGCAGACTGCAGGCTCTGAACTATCAGCACAGAGCCCGACGCGGGGCTCAAACTCATGAACTGTGAGATCATGACCTGAGCCAAAGTCAGACACTCAACTGACTGAGCCACCCAGGCACCCCTTAATCAGTTTGTTTTCAAGAGGGGGCTGTTAATGCTAATTTTTTCCCCCACCAGTGGATGATAGAGACTCAGTCTCTACTTTTTCCATTTGGATATTCACTTTTTGTTCACTTACAGAATAATCCTTAGCTTCTCCATTTCTCTGCCTTGCTGCTTATATATTAAAGTTCCGTATTTATGTGCTCTCTATTCCATTTCATTGATCAATTTGTTTATCCTGTCTTAATTATTTTAATTTCATAATAAGCCCTGTTCTTATTATTCTCTTTCTTCATAAATGTTTTTGCTCTCCTTGATCCCGTGTTGTTCTGGATACAGTTTATAAAGACTAATCGTTTCTATGTTCTGTGAAAAACTCTGTGGAATATTGATGGGGTTTGAATTGATTTCACAGATAAACTTGGATAGATGTTGAATTTTTGCAATACTAAATCTTTCTGTTCATAACTATGGTGTTCTTTTCCATTTATTAAGATTTTTGGTGATGTCTCTCAGTACATTTTGTAATTTTCCCCATAAAGTCCTTGCCCATGTTTTGAAGGGTTTATTTCAAGGCATTTGGTGTTTCTTATTTTATCGTTAAGTGAAGTCTTCTTCTAATTATGTTTTCTCACTGTTTATTGTTGATGTATAGAAATGTGGTTTTTAAAAATCGCAGTCATGCATCCAGGGAACATTTGCTTTTGTTTCAGAAAGAGCTCATTAATCCATTAGCGGAATGTGTCACATGTGCGCGCACACTTGTATGTATTTTGAGAATGGTGGTGTTGAGGGTGAGTGTTCCCACAGCCCTGGGGTTATTTTTGGTCCAGTGTCTACATGTCAGGTTGGCCCTGAGTCACAGGACAGGATATCAGCTGGGGCCATGATGCTCCCAGCTTTAAGTGTAGTCAGCCGGCCCTGCGATCACGGCTGTCAGTAAGAGGGCTCTCTCCAGCCAGCATCCTTGAGTTAAGACATTCACGTATTGTCCACACTAGGGATGGTTTCTCATGATGCAGGCTGTCACCGTTAAAACCGTGTCCCTCTTCTCTTTTAGTATCCGGAGTGTGATGCAGAAGTACCTCCAGGAGAGAAATGAAATAACCTTTGACAAGATTTTTAACCAGAAAATTGGTAAGTCCCACTTACTCATTTGGCATACAGTCTAATAGTGGTTTCAGGTGGCATCACAGTTATGTGTAAATGCAGCCTTTCGTGCTTTATGTGCTTTTATAGCTCTGGCTGGGAATGAAGGACATTTCATGTAGCAATAAGATATGTAATGGTTACTTCCATCCCTACTAACAGACCTTGTGAATAAGCTCTTGGGAGACAGACTAGCTCGATTCGAGGGTTTAAGGCAGTTTGGGGGTTGCCAAATCAAAGGATTGGGTAGTTGGTAACCAGAAAGAAGTGCTCTGGGTTTCGGACCCGCTTCCGAGGTCCCCACCTTTCCTCACTGCTGTTGTACTCTCCGTGATCGCAAGGAGGTGTCCCGTGTCTTCATAAACATACTGCACTCCTGTGTTTGGCCGGCTCCTTGCAAAGTGTGGGGCTGGCGCACTTGATCTCATCGGTTTTCGCTGGCTGACAGGCTTTACACACTGCTCCTTATTGTCAGTTCCCCATCAATTACTCTTATCCCTGAGGCTCCATTCAGTAAGTAAGGCTTATCCCTGAGCCTTACTTAGCAGGTCACCAGGACTCTCCTGTTGTGTGCATAGAGGTCAAGGATCCATTTCTCTCTAGCTGGTACCCAGTGCTGGGCGGTGCTGGGCTTGGCCGGAGCAAATGTGTGGATGTATAGGCGTGTTCTCCGATTACCAGCAGCTAGTGCTTGGAGAAGTTAGGACTGGACAGGAATAGCTCTAGTGTGAGGTTCCAAGGCTTGGGGAGCATTGGAGTATTATGCTTCCGAAGGGCTGGCAGTTTGTTTAGAGGTTAGATAAGAGCTGGAGTCCACATACTCTCTTTTTTTCATCCCCCCCAAATCCATTCCTACTGTCCAGAAGTTTCCTACACTATATTTTTATTCTCAACTCAGATAGGATTCATCGTTTGGCCTGCCAGCTGGGTATTTTTTAATCTGCCCATAGTAATGTGATAAACAGATAATTCCAGGATTTTACATGAAATCACCTTAGCTGAATATGAGAGAATTGGAACCTTCTTTCCTTCCCTTTACTTGCCTCCCACAATTACTCAGATAAGATTTGCCGAGGAACTGTGGCATCATTTTTAAATGACTTTAATACTCGAGGAAATGACTTTATTAAAATTGCAAGAAACTGGTTATACAAAAGTTTCCTGGAACTCTGTTTCTGCATTTAGTCCTGTCTCCATGATTCACAGACCCACAATGACCGATCCCCTTGAGACTGAATATCCTTGGAAGTAATTGTGGGCAGCCCTCCTCCTTATAAGTAAGGAGTCATAGACTCAGGTCGGTGAAGTGACTTATTCTGATTTGTAGTTCTCCTTGTCCAGCCATTCTGTAAAGGCTCTTGGAAAGGAAACAATGAATATAAAATGTACTGCTGAGGGTCATCCTGTGAGAACTGGATAGTTTTTTGTGTTTTGTTTTTTTTAAGAAAGCAGCATGATGCTCTCTTGTGTTCAACTAAAGTAGAAACCGGTGCAGAAAAGCCTTCGGGTTTTGGCAGACTTTTTAGCTAGCCTCCAAAACTTGGCCATGTATGAAGGCGATAGAGCTTCTTTCACAGCCCCTGACATTCAGTGGTGAAAAGCTGGATGCCGTTCCCCGGAGAAGCAGGTGGAGTACTGCCCCGTCTGTGCTCAGAGCACAATGTGTGGAAAGCTAGCGGCCCGTAGCTACCTAGAAATCTTACATCCCGAGCGTCGAGCGTCGGGATTTGGCTACGGAACGGAGCGGTCGAAAGAGTTTGACTTTCATCTCGTGCTTCATTGCTGCTTCTCCTTGCGTTCACGGCGTTGGGTTAACTGTCATCTATATAAATAAACGCCCCCCCCCCCCC